TGTCCTCTGACCTGAAGGGGGTCAAAACGTCTTCATGGTGGTTTCTGGGGCACAACAGGAAGTGATGTAACGCTCATATGGAGGGAAAACTGTGACATCAGGAGCGATGGGATTATATGGAGTCCAGAGAAGAAGAAGCATCTGTTGGGTTCATGTGCAGGTTCAGACCCCCACAGACCCCCATCACCTGACCTGGTAGCTGCTCTCCGATTGGACGAGGTTACTCTGCTCTGACCAATTCTAATTATTATTATTATTTAGATAAAAGATGTATATTACTGTTTAATTATTTAAGTTATTTTAATTATAGTTGAGTTAGTTGTGCTGAGTTTATAAAGAGAGTTAATATTATTGATTTATTATTTATTGGTAACTTTATCGTCCACATATGTTGAATGTCTTCCAGCTTTAATTAAACAGTCTCTGTTCTCTATAATTACAACCAGACGGCATTGTGCTGTCCAGGAAACTTCACAGGAAATTATTAGACATTTAATTACAATTAGTTGTCACTCAAACATTCAGACTGGAAGCTATTATACTGTTGTTGGTTTTAATGACTTATTCTGTTTCTCTTGTCTTTAGTTTATTGTTTAAATACATGTAGTAAATGCTGGTTTCTTTGTGTACGACTCACATAAAGTCACAGTTTACTTTCTATAAACGGATACAGTGCTGCTCCTGAACCTCCTGTTTTATTTCTTTATTGAATCAGAACCAGTATTTTTATGTCAAATAACAGGTGTATGTTTATCTTTTCCATATACGTTGTTTAAGGAAATCAACTGAGCAGTGAAAAGACTGAATTAAAAATATTTTTTGTAAACTCTTAGTTAGTTAGTTAATTAGTTATTCTGACAGATCTTACAGATGGACAGACTTTGGTCCAACTTTCCTTCTTCCAGTGATGGTGCTCTGTAAATGTCAGCGTTACCGAGCCACACTGCCCTAATGTTACTCTGGTGGTGAGACCCAGGCGTTGACCTTTGACCTTTCAGGAGAGTGGAGACGCTGTTAGCAGCAAAGCTTCAGTTAACAGATTCCTCACTTTATAATGGGTACATTTAGATCCATCCAGGGGTCGGCGTACTGATGGAGTCCAGATATCTGTTAATAGAGAGTAGATGCTGATCTAAAGCTGATAAAGCAGGTAGAGTCGAGTGAGAAATAAAACTGTCCTACTTTATATAAATGCTTTTATGTGAAATCTACTGACCACCTGATGATATAAAGAGCTGAACCTGCTGCAGTCTGAGGTTAAACCTTCAGTCTGATTACAGTTCAGTGAATCAACGTGTCGGCTGATGAAGGCTCCTAATCACTGTTTAATCTGGACGGATGAAAACAGCTGCTGGCCACCTTCTTCCTCTCTGTGACGTTACTGTGTGTGGGGGGTCGGGTTGGGGGGTATAAGGACAGACTTTAGGTGGAGGGTTGGAGGGGAGGTGGGGGGGTATCAACCACAAGTGGCTCCATATGTCTGTTTGAAGTTACTGTGATGAAGAGGAACGAATTAAGGATCAAACCAGAGCCGTGATTTGTCCTTAATACCACACACACAGTAACACACACACACACACACACACAGTAACACACAGTAACACACAGTAACACACACAGTAACACACACACAGTAACACACACACACTCTGGCTGATGTTCAGAGGTGAAAACAGTCCAACCTCCACAGAGGAATCAAACTTCATGACTAAAACTCTGAAATCAAAGACAGAAACATGAAATCTATGTCAAACTTACATTCAATTCAATTCAATTCAATTTTATTTGTAAAGCGCCAATTCATAACAGAAGTTATCTCAGGACACTTTTCAAATAGAGCAGGTCTAGACCGAACTCTTTAAAACATTATTTACAGAGGCCCAACAGTACCACCATGAGCCCGGTTAGCTCAGTTGGTAGAACTGGTGACCCATGTCCCACCTGTGGCCCTTTGCTGCATGTCATCCCTCTCTCTCTGCCCACCTTTCCTGTCACTATCAAATAAAGGCTATAAAAAGCCAAAAAAAAACTTCCCCAAAGATCCAGCCTCAAACTGGAAGAGAGACAACAACAGAGTTAAGTGAATGGAGTCTTTTCTTACAGCTCAAAAGCCAGTTTATGGACCCCGCAACAAAAGACCAGGAACCCCAACAGACTGGCCAGAATCAGGTACCAGATCAGGACGGAGTTACTGGAAAGAACAACCCCTCATCATGAGGATTAATGAGATCCTCTACAGTGTAACACCTGTAGAACCTGCCAGCTGCACAAAGACCGACAGAGACCCGGTCTGAACACAGACCGACCGACAGAACTCAGACACCTGCTGATCACGTGGTGTCCACATTGATCCTCAGAGAGAAGTCAGCGTCCTGCTGCTCGCTGTGATGGATGTGGTGTCTTTGTGTCCCACCGCAGGTCTCTGCTAGCCCGGGTCAATCACTATTAAATTACAAAAGTCCACCACTCAGAGGCCGATTGATAGATGGATACCGCAAACACACCGACCACAATGAGGCCAGAGCCGAGGCCAGAGAGTGCATTCAGACGCACCAGGCTCCCTTCACAAAAGACCCTGTTTTGTTTTGTTTTGTCCTTTTGGGCCAGCAGAGCGGGGGTTAACACTTTCCACCACCAGCAATCTGATGTTACAGGACTGAAAACTACGGCATATTTCCTACGGTACAGCGACATGTAGTGTGCAGGTTTAAACTCTTCAAATACAAACAGTTTAAATGTTTGTGAGCTGAAAGGAGCTGAGGTGGAGGAAGGTACGCTGAAGCTGCATGAGGTTTCAGTTTTAAGTTAAAGCTCTTTAGAGAGTTTTCAGATGATAATGATGTAATCCTGGAAGCAGCTGACCTTGGAGGGAATCAAGAACAAAAAGTGACACTTGCAGAAGCAGTGTTTTCATTCATAATTAGCTAGCTAGCTACGTTTGAAAGCTAATGTTAGCTAAACAGATAGTGAAACTACATCAATTGCTAGCTAGCTATCTAGCCAGCATACTAATTGTCCACTAATCGTTAGGTTGTTGGTTCGATCCCCGGCTCCTCAAAGTGTCCTTGAGCAAGATACTGAACTCCAAATTGCTGCTGATGCTGCGTCACTGTGTGAATGAGTGAATGTGGCTGTAGAGTAAAAGCACTGAGTGGTTAGAAAACTAGAAAGGAAACTATGCAAATAGTCTATTTACTATTTTGCTAACTTAATATGTCACTATATATATGTATCTAGCTAATAAGCTAGTGTTTTGCTAACATTAGCTAACTTAATATGTGACATACAGTCAAGCCCGAAATTATTTATACCCCTGGCAAACTGTCACAGTGGGAAAATGGTGAATCTGGGCTCTGCTGGTGGCAACGTCTCAAGGCAGACAGTCTAACGGACACTGCACACTGCTGGGTTCCACGGACTAGTGTTGTTTTTGGCGGCCTGTTTTAATTTTAGTTTTAGTCTAGTCTTTGTGTCAAACTGTCATTTTAGTTTTTATTAGTTTTAGTCACGTTTATACTCTTTTTAGTCTAGTCAAGTTTCAGTCGACTAAAAGTCTGAGCATTTTAGTCTTATTTTAGTCAGAATTATCCATGACTATTTTTGTCTAGTTTTAGTCGACGAAAACTGATGACGTTTTAGTCTAGTTTTAGTCAATGAAAATTGTATTTTAGTCTCTTTTTAGTAACGCAGTGCGATTTAACCAAGTTAATATAATACAAGTACCTAGTATAGTGTAGTATAGTATAGTATAGTATAGACAAAACCAACATTTTCTTTAAGTCACTCATTTCACAAGTCAAACAAGGTCATCTTATTATTATTATATTATTATTGTTACCTAATCTCAAGAATACATTCAATTCCAGACACGGACGACGCTCTGATTTGAATTTACAACATATTTATTTTACCTACCAAACATGTAAGAAGTACACACACATAAATTTAAATAAAATAAATAAATACCCTCACCTTCCTCACCCTCCTCACTCTCATAACCCTCGTCACCTTCCTCACCCTCCTCACTCTCATAACCCTCGTCACCCTCCTCACCTTCCTCACCCTCCTCACTCTCATAACCCTCCTCACCCTCATAACCCTCCTCACCCTCATCACTCTCCTCACCTCTTCACTCTCCTCACCTCTTCACTCTCCTCACTCTCCTCACCTCCTCATGCTTCTCACCCTCCTCCCCCTCCTCACCCTGTTTCTGGGAACGGTTTATATGTTCAAAGCCTCGGACTCGCAGTGTTTGGGAGCGCGGCCGTGGGCGTGTGGAGGGATTGTCGGCCATGCATATCATCACTTACTTACACTGTGTGAGTTTGGATCAGACACATTAGCATCTGACAATGAGCTGAAAACACTGGAGGCTATCACTGACACACACACACACACACTGAAAACTGGGATCAATCGCACAATTTGTTCTGATTAATCACCATTAATCACTTTTTTCTTCTTGGCATTGAAGCTTGTAACAATATATTTAAATAGTGAATATTAATATAATAAACAGGGTATAAACTCAATCAATAATCTATAATCATTAAACAGTGTATAAACTCTAGAGCTATGTTCTCTATGTAACTGATCAATAATCAATAATCAGAAGCTGTCATACATTGACTGGATGAAGGATTTTAGGATCTTAAGGTATCAGAGAAACAAGCTGAGCTCACGTTAACGGAAGGTTAATGTTAGCAAAAACGCTAACTAACTAGCTAGCTAATATACATCAATCGTTAGCTAGCTAGTTACGTTTAAAAGCTAATGTTACCGAAATGCTAACTACTATGAATTCATTTCACAAATTAAAATTTTAATTAATTAAAGACTCAATCTGTTTTTAAAGAAGCATTAAGGAAACGTTATGTGTTGTAAATTACAACAAAACAAACTTAAACTACAATAATCGTTTGCAAGCTAGTTAAATTTAAAAGCTAACGTTAGCTAAAGGTACACACTGTAGGTTTACGTACGTTCAGGGTCACACTGACCTACGGACATCAGGGAACTGGATCGGGTAGTACAGGACCTCACACTTAGGCCGGATCAACAGGTCCAGGTCTCTGGGTCTGTGGTCTGGGATCTTGTTCATGAAGGAGGAGATGGAGGACAGGAAGGACTCCATGTTGAAGGAGGAGTTAAACACAACCACGTCTGCCACCAGGCTGCCGACACACAGCACGAAAAAACAGCAGTTATTTTTATTTTTATACACAAAAACTGTTAATTCTTAATCTGTAAAGTTTACATAAAGTCGACCTCCAGCTGTGGTTCGGGAGGCAGACACCCTCTCCACATTCAAGAGTAGGCTTAAGACATTCCTCTTTGATAAAGCTTATAGTTAGGGCTGGATCAGGTGAGTCCTGAACCATCCCTTAGTTATGCTGCTATAGGCCTAGACTATCGGGGGATTTCCCATGGTGCACTGAGCTCCTCCCTTCCTCTCTCTTTCTGCACTCATTCATGTTCCATTAATGCATGTTACTAACTTCACTTCTTCCCCGGAGTTCTTGTGCTTTCTCGTCTCGCAGGTTCTTATCGATCCTGGTGGAGCCTCCTGCCATGGTCCTGCTAGACTGCCATTGCCAATACTGTTGTTGCTGTGCACCTATCTGTCTGTCTGTCTCTCTCTCTCTGTCTGTCTCTCTCTCTCTCACCCCAACTGGTCGAGACAGACGACCACCCACCTAGAGCCGAAGGATCTTAATAGGTTTCTGCCTCTTTAAAGGCAGTTTTTCCTTGCCCTTGTCTCCAAGTGCTTGCTCAAGGTGGTACTGTTGGGTCTCTGTAATTAATGTTTTAAAGAGTTCGGTCTAGACCTGCTCTATTTGAAAAGTGTCCTGAGATAACTTCTGTTACGAATTGGCGCTATACAAATAAAATTCAATTGAATTGAATATATCAATACAGTGAGGGAGGAATAATAAAAATGATAATAATAAAAATAATAATAATAATAATAATACAACATTTGTACACTGGTTGTAAGCTAGTTTCAGTAGTTTACACTGTTGATCAGGTCCAGTCATAGCAGATATTCACTGTTTCTACAGTCTTGGTGATGTAGGACTAGTTAATGAACTACTGTGGCTGATGAGTTCACTGCTAACATGCTAACTAGCTGGAAACATGCTAATGCTGGCAGTTTCTTTTTGTTTTTTTCTGTACTGTTCTGTTGAACTATTGTACTGTCCCTGGCATGTTGTCCTCACATTGATTAAAGAGTAACTGAGGAGGGAGGAAAGGCTTAATTCCTTAGCTAACAGTACAATAAGTTAGCTAACTGTACATTAGCTCTGGTCTCTAGAGCCAGCATTTGTTAGCGTTTGTCTGTTAATTAGGGATGCACCGATCCACATTTTTTCACTTCCGATCCCGATACCTGAATTTGGATATCTGCCGATACCGATACTATTCCGATACCAGAGCTCTGTTTGCTTTAATATTATTATTATCATTATTGTTGATTTTATATGAGGCTGAAATAAACTCCTCTCAACAGGCAAGTATGATCTGTACGTATGTATGTATGTCTCTTCCTCTCTCTCTCATTCTGCACTCATTCATGTTCCATTAATGCATGTTACTAACTTCACTTCTTCCCCGGAGTTCTTGTGCTTTCTCGTCTCGCAGGTTCTTGTCGATCCTGGTGGAGCCTCCTGCCATGGTCCTGCTAGATTGCCATGGATAATATCACTGATATTAGTGTTATTATAAGTATTATTATAGCTACGGTTACTGTTGTTGCTGTTGTCACTGCTCATTGTTCATCATCATCAGTTACTACTATTAGTGTAGTTGTTGCTACTGTTGTTGCTGTGCACCTGTCTGTCTGTCTGTCTGTCTGTCTGTCTCTCTCTCTCACCCCAACTGGTCGAGACAGACGACCACCCACCTAGAGCCGAAGGATCTGTCCTAGGTTTCTGCCTTTTAACAGGCAGTTTTTCCTTGCCCTTGTCTCCAAGTGCTTGCTCATGGTGGTACTGTTGGGTCTCTGTAATTAATGTTATAAAGAGTTCGGTCTAGACCTGCTCTATTTCGAAAGTGTCCTGAGATAACTTCTGTTATGAATTGGCGCTAAACAAATAAAATTTAATTGAATGTCCCAAAAGGCAACTTGAGGTAAGTATAAGGTCAGAAAAGGAAGTCAGAAAAACAGGAAATCCTATTAACAGTAAAAATCCCATCCTGAAAACAAATATGCAACTGTAAGGGTTTTAAATTGATTGTCATGTCAATATTTATTAAATTCCCAAAATCTCAAACATTTGAAATATAAGAAAAGTGCAGTAAGTGTAAACATCTTACACACACACACACACACACAGTAATCCCTTTAGCTTTCACGTTGCCTGCCTGGAGTTTACCTTGTTTTTGGAACGACTCCAGAAGTGATTCCTTACAGCTCCTTTTGTCTTTCTGCCCCCTGGCTAAAAAATCCTTGTGCTGTTTCGTGTGGTGCTTTTTTAAATGTTTGATTGCGTTCGTAGTGTTGTACGACGCAAGGGAGCTTCCGCCTCTCTCAATCACGGCTTTGCTACCTGGCTGCAAACTGCGGAATGGATTTCCTGAGCGGAGGCGTGTCTCATAACTCTGTGTCTCATTGAGCCGCGCCTCCGTTCAGGAAATCCATTCCACAGTTTCAATTCAATTCAATTCAATTTTATTTGCATAGCGCCAATTCATAACAGAAGTTATCTCAGGACACTTTTCAAATAGAGCAGGTCTAGCCCGAACTCTTTAAAACATTAATTACAGAGACCCAACAGTACCACCATGAGCAAGCACTTGGAGACAAGGGCAAGGAAAAACTGCCTGTTAAAAGGCAGAAACCTAGGACAGATCCTTCGGCTCTAGGTGGGTGGTCGTCTGTCTCGACCAGTTGGGGTGAGAGAGAGAGAGAGACAGAGAGAGAGACAGACAGAGAGAGAGAGAGAGAGAGAGAGAGAGACAGACAGACAGACAGGTGCACAGCAACAACAGTACTGGCAATGGCAATCTAGCAGGACCATGGCAGGAGGCTCCACCAGGATCGATAAGAACCTGCGAGACGAGAAAGCACAAGAACTCCGGGGAAGAAGTGAAGTTAGTAACATGCATTTATGGAACATGAATGAGTGCAGAAAGAGAGAGGAAGGGAGGAGCTCAGTGCACCATGGGAAATCCCCCGATAGTCTAGGCCTATAGCAGCATAACTAAGGGATGGTTCAGGACTCACCTGATCCAGCCCAACTATAAGCTTTAAGTTCGCAGCCAGCTAGCAGACTGGCCGGCAGGGATCACTTGTGGAGTCATTTCAGCAGACAATGTTAAAGCGCAGACATGGCTCATGGATATCAGATATCTCCGCAGGTTGGATCGGGAAATTCTGATCCGTGAATTATACTGGTATCGGTCCCGATACCGATACTGGATCGGATCGGCCCCATCCGTACTGTTAATAGCATAAATAAAGCCCACCGAGTCCTATTGTGTGTAGTTTTATATTTTAGCTCAATTAAAGAGGAGTATAAGTATTGATACCAATAAGCAGTGCAGCCTGATCAATTCTGGACTTCGGGGCTGATACTAATATTAATAACGTGGAGGTATTCTGTGTTCTGAAATTAACTGATCAGCAGACGTTGATTGGCAGATATATTTAATAATAATCTTTCTCAGTGTAGTTGTGCCCTGGGCTGCAGTGGGAGAGATTATGAAGCTTTGTGCTGCATTATAATTGAACTGAGTGAAGTAATCTGGCTTTGATCCAATCAGAGGTTTTTAATGATCAGTTCTTTAATGCTGCTGTAACGACGTTAGCGGAGATGGAGAGACTCGACTTATTGACAGGCTGCCCTGCAGATCAACAACAATCAGTTTTCCGTTTACTGTTAGACAGCTGATTAATGACAACTAGACCCACTTCAATTACACACACAGCATCACATCACAGCAGCTCGTTAACCAATCACGTGCAGCCTGACACGCTCATTCGGACTTCCTGCAGTGATCAGTAACATGTATCTGTGGTACCATCAGTACCGGACCAACCCTCAGCCCGGTCCTGTTCCTGTCCACAGTGAACGACGTTAGGATGATCTGCGCTGTTAAACTCGAGGTTTAGTCTCTGGAGTCTGTTCTAGTTTGAGATTGTGGAGCTCTGGTGCGACACCCAGTGAATGGCGTATATAACCTTTATGTCATTGTTTAAAGCAACAATATGGAAGATGAAGTACATTTTGGGATTTAGCGCCCCCTACAGTTACTAGCTTCTCTATGATAGTGAAATTAATACATTTGGGTTTTGACTGTTAATAAAACATTAAAATATAGAAAAAAAATTGGACTATTTGTTGGACTTCATTCACTTTATAATCAGTGCTAACGAAGTACTGACGGCAGCGATGGAGGTCTAGGGATTACCATGAGAGGACCTGGTTGTATCCGTACTGGAAGTCTCTCTCCTGCTCTTTGCGGACTGGATAAACCAGCTGGTTCTCGTGGAAATAAAGGACCTTCTTCAGGCGGGCCAGATCTGGTCTGAGAGCCACCAGCTCACACAGGTTCAGGACCGAGCTGCTGAACAGGACTCTGAAGAGGAAACCATAGAGAAATCTGATGTTAATAGAGTCAGTACGGCAGCCAGAGACCTGCTGTCAGAAACCTGCTGAGAACCACATCTGGAGCCAACATGGAGGTCCAGAGACACAGCTGGGTTTAATACTGAGAATTATTAACTTCAAACTCTCAGTCTCTGGATTATAAAGGTGTCAGATATAAACAGTCTGTCCTGAAGGTGGCGCTAGATGACAGAGTTCATCTGTGGAGCAGATCTGTTCTGGTCTGGGGTTAACGCTAGTCTGGTGACAGACAGAAAGACTTTAAAGGGGACATATTATGCAAAACCAACTTTTTAATCATTTGATTATGTACATTTGGGAATCTGGAGGGCCTATCAGCAGGCAAAGTGTGTAAAAAATTGACTCAGTCATTTTTTGTGGGCTGCCTCAGTCAGAATACAGGAGATTAATCACTCCATTTCAGACTTTTTGACGTCATTTTGCCTCCATGTTGCCACCCACCGCAGTTTACTTCCTGTTGAGTAGCGGAGCTCCGCCATTGTTACTATAAAAGCGCAAGCTAGCGGAGAACAAGCAAGCAAGCCCAGCCTAATGTCTGGGCAAAGGCTTCTGCAGGCAAACTGTTCAGTCATTGGCTGCACAGCCCAACACTAATTTACATATGTATGAGTCAGTGGATTTATTTTTATTTTTGACGCCAATGTCCGGCGGAAAAACCTGAACGTGTCTGAACCACTTCGTGTCGGACTGTTTCACAACCTCGGTCAGTACAACACTGGACTGGCTGAAAGACTGTTCCTGAAAGAGGGATTGTACCAACTGTCTGTGGAGAGACGGCAGAGGAAGTAACTAAGTATTTTTAAGAATTTATGCTTTGTTTTTCATTGTTCGTCTACCGCTAGCACATGCTAACCGTTGTTAGCTACGGGAGCCTCAGTGACGCTAACGTAGTTATTGTTTGTTAAATGTTTGTTATTGTTTGTTAAATGTTTGTTAAATGTGTGCAAGATGAACATGAAACTTATAAGGTGAGGTTAATTTATTAAGCCAGCTGGTGCAGATTGCTATTACTGCTATTTTTTTTTAGAGATTCACACGAAGTTTATGCCGTGAATCACCAAGCTTCGTGCTGGGGGGGGCTCCATAACTCCATAACTTTTGTGGGTTTTGTGACTGGGCTAAATTGGCTTTATGTTCATCTGTATTTTGTTAAACGTGCTCAGTAAGTAATGTTTGTGTCGCTGTTGGAAAGAGCAGAAAACCTCCAAGTGAACAAACTGTAGCCACTCATCAGCTGTTAGCTTGTTGAGCTGCATAGAACCGGTAAGATAACGTTAGATAGGTTTAATTGTCTTTAACCTGGTAACTTACATATCTGCTGGGTAGCTAAGTATCTGTTCACCGTGTGGATCAATACAGCTGTGATCAGAAGAAGACACTGTACTTGTACCGTGTATAAATTCAGCAGCGGAGGTAATTTGTTTGGTAGGATCGTAGCTTTGATTAGCACACAGCAGCTCTGTGATTTCACTGTGTTACTATAGTAAGTCTGTCAGACTTTATGTTGTAATATGATAAATTTCACTCTGCACTTCATCTCGTCTTTTAGCTGTTTTTCTTAATGTATTTTATCATTTGTATTATTATTGGTTGCTGATTTTAATGTGTTATTGCCCTTAGTGTTTTTTGTTACTTGTTTTTTTCTTGGTTTCTGTAGCACTTTGAGATTCTTTTATGAAAAGTGCTTTACAAATAAAATGTATTATTATCATTATTATTATTATTATTATGAGGGGCAGTGTGATCGTTAACCCTCGTTAGAAACTACCAAAATACCGGGAGTGAGTTATGGTGATTATTTTCTGTTTGTGTAACTTGCTAACGTGCTGTGTGTGTGTGTGTGTGTGTGTGTGTGTGTGTGTGTTACGGTGTGTAAATTAACTTGATCTACGTGCACCAGAGTTAACGATAGCGCTACGGTGAGAGAGAAATGGTCAAACTGCAGGGATTCATTAGTTTAGAAATATTGTGTAACTACAACGCTCACTAGGCTGTTTTGTGGAGTCAAACACTGTTTTATTATTTTATTTTATAACTTAGGACTACTTTGAGCCACAATGAGCTGTTGTACTTGTATTATATTATACTGTATTATATTATACTGTATATTATATGCTGCCTTACAAGTAACACTGAATCTGCCTTGTTTTACAGGTGACCTGATGAAGCTCAGGTGTTCCTGGACCCATCAGAGGACAGAGACAGCTGCAGCATCAGTTTACATAAAAGTTATAGCTTTGTTACTTACAACATGTGTAACTGGAATATGAATGAAACATAAATAAAGTGTTTTACTTTTAAGAAGAGTTTTGGTCATTTTTAAATTCAGTAATAAGTGTGGTTTTATATAAATAACATGTTATTTCACAGAGGTTTTATGAAGATTTCCTTGATTTACAAGAGTTGAAAACCTGGTTCATGCAACATCTATCAATATGAAAATGTTAAACCTGTATTAATGACTGTAAGCAACACAGTACATTAATTCAATTCAATTACATTTTATTTGTATAGTGCCAATTCATAACAGTTATTTACTTAAGTTATCTCAGGACACTTTTCAAATAGAGCAGGTCTAGACCGAACTCTTTATAACATTACTGTCTCACATACAAACTTTATTATGTTGGAAGATAAATGACATCATATATATAATAAATGACAGAATTTTCAGTATATATTCAGTATTTTTAATGGGGTTCAAACATAATTGCAGCTTTTACACATATCTGAAGGTTAACGTTGGTAATAATACTTTCAAGTTAAATTATCAGACTATGAAATATGGATACAGTACAGTACAGTTGGTTACTTACAGTTGGTTAAACCACATAAACAAGTTACTTTATTAGATGAGTAATTCCTTCAGATATGTTGACATGTTGTACAGGATCAAGTATTGCCGGCATATAATATGTTTAACTTCACTGGGCTGTGTAGACTGTAGGTCACTGCTCACTGCTGTACCTGTAAAGACAAGCATAAAACACAGTTTTGGTTTTCATAGTTAAGGTATAAACACTAACATTATGTGATAGATAGAGGTTTTTATAGCAGTATTTACCTGAGGAAAACCTCACAGAAAGTTGTAATCCTGATTGTTGATGTTGTTCATTTCTCCGTGATTCCGAGACTCCCACTCTAACATGTCCACTAGTGAAGTTTTTGGTTTAGAAGCAGTTATTGAATTACTATAGACGGTAGAAATGCAGCTAAACTCAGTAGCAGTGAGGAGCTAACTGCCGAAAACAACAGCAAAGCTGAGGCGGAGATGGGAGGGGCCAGAGCGTCATCCGCGTGAACGCGTAAATGCCGACCAATCAGAGCAGACTGGGCTTTTCGGGAGGGGGGCCTTAAAGAGACAGGAGATAAAACCGATTGATTCAGACAGGCTGAAAAGAGGTTCTCAGCTATAGGCAGTATGAGAAAAATAATGTGTTTTTTGAAGATTAAAACATCTAAACTTCTTGTAGTAGAGCCACAAAATACAATTATGAACCTGAAAAAGGGCATAATATGTCTCCTTTAAGTCCCCAAACAGGGAGTCCTGATATCAGTGCAGACTCCAGATGGCTCTGTTATACTGATTTATATTATCGGCACTTACGATTTCACATGTGACTTGGACTTCATTCAGGACTTGATTCAGGACTTGATTCAGGACATGATTCAGGACATGATTTGGGACTTCATTTACTGTTGTTGCTGTGCACCTGTCTGTCTGTCTGTCTGTCTCTCTCTCTCTCTCTCTCTCTCACCCCAACTGGTCGAGACAGACGACCACCCACCTAGAGCCGAAGGATCTGTCCTAGGTTTCTGCCTTTTAACAGGCAGTTTTTCCTTGCCCTTGTCGCCAAGGTCTTGCTCATGGTGGTACTGTTGGGTCTCTGTAATTAATGTTTTAAAGAGTTCGGTCTAGACCTGCTCTATTTGAAAAGTGTCCTGAGATAACTTCTGTTATGAATTGGCGCTATACAAATAAAATTTAATTGAATTGAATTTGGGACTCTTAGGACTTGATTTGGTACTTGATTCAGGACTTGATTTGGGACTTTTAGGACTTGATTTGGGACTTTTAGGACTTGAGGACAGGACACAAGTGGGAGTGTTACCTGTGTGAGGGACAGGTGGGGGAGTAACCTGTGTGAGGGACAGGTGGGGGTGTTACTTGTGTGAGGGACAGGTGTGGGAGTAACCTGTGGGAGTAACCTGTGTGAGGGACAGGTGAGGGAGTTAACTGTGTGAGGGACAGGTGAGGGTGTTACCTGTGTGAGGGACAGGTGGGGGAGTTACCTGTGTGAGGGACAGGTGGGGGAGTAACCTGTGTGAGGGACAGGTGAGGGACAGGTGGGGGAGTTACCTGTGTGAGGAACAGGTGAGGGAGTTACCTGTGTGAGGGACAGGTGAGGGTGTTACCTGTGTGAGGGAGTTACCTGTGTGAGGGACAGGTTGGGGAGTTGCCTGTGTGAGGGACAGGTGGGGGGTGTTACCTGTGTGAGGGACAGGTGAGGGTGTTACCTGTGTGAGGGACAGGTGGGGGTGTTACCTGTGTGGGGGAACAGGTGGGGGAGTTACCTGTGTGAGGGACAGGTGAGGGTGTTACCTGTGTGAGGGAGTTACCTGTGTGAGGGACAGGTTGGGGAGTTGCCTGTGTGAGGGACAGGTGGGGGTGTTACCTGTGTGAGGGACAGGTGAGGGTGTTACCTGTATGAGGGACAGGTGGGGGACAGGTGAGGGACAGGTAGGGGAGTTACCTGTGTGAGGGACAGGTGGGGGAGTTACCTGTGTGAGGGACAAGTGAGGGAGTTACCTGTGTGAGGGACAGGTGAGGGTGTTACCTGTGTGAGGGAATTAACTGTGTGAGGGACAGGTGAGGGAGTTACCTGTGTGAGGGACAAGTGAGGGAGTTACCTGTGTGAGGGACAGGTGAGGGTGTTACCTGTGTGAGGGAATTAACTGTGTGAGGGACAGGTGAGGGACTTACCTGTGTGAGGGACAGGCGAGGGTGTTACCTGTGTGAGGGAGTTACCTGTGTGAGGGACAGGTGGGGATGGTCTGGCTGAAGGTGAGCGCCGCTGTTCTCGCCCTCCAGTGCCATTTCTTGGCGGGCAGTGTGACGACGGAGCAGCCGGAGATGTTTTGGGTCAGCAGGTCGATCAGCTGTTTGTGCGAGCCGCCATAAAACGCCTCCACCAGCAGGACGCTGGGACCCTCAGAGCTCTGCCAGAGACACACATTATTGATCATTTGATCACATCATACTGTCTGTTATTGAACCCTGGAGGGACAGTAAGTTCACAATTACAACAATAAAAGAATCAATTAAATAAATATTAATGGTATTGATGATATTGATGGTATTGATGATGATGATGATATTGATGGTATTGATGATGATGATATTGATGAAATTGATGATGATGATATTGATGGTATTGATGATGATGATACTGATGGCATTGATGATATTGATGATGATGATACTGATGGTATTGATGATATTGATGTGGATACTGATGGTATTGATGATATTGATGACGATATTGATGGTATTGATGACGATGATATTGATGGTATTGATATTGATGGTATTGATGACGATGATATTGATGGTATTGATGATGATATTGATGAAATTGATGATGATGATATTGATGGTATTGATGATATTGATGATGATACTGATGGTATTGATGATGATACTGATGGTATTGATGATATTGATGATGATACTGATGGTATTGATGATATTGATGATGATGATACTGATGGTATTGATGATGTGGATACTGATGGTATTGATGATATTGATGACGATGATATTGATGGTATTGATGACGATTATATTGATGGTATTGATGATGATATTGATGGTATTAATGATGATATTGATGGTATTGATATTGATGGTATTGATGACGATGATATTGATGGTATTGATGATGATATTGATGGTATTGATGATGATGATGTTGATGGTATTGATGATGATGATACTGATGATATTGATGGTATTGATGACGATGATGATATTGATGGTATTGATGATATTGATGATGATACTGATGGTATTGATATTGATGATGATACTGATGGTATTGATGATATTGATGACGATGATATTGATGGTATTGATTGATATTGATCAGCTGTTAAGATTTGACTATGATTTAAATATTTAAGATTCTCTTTTGATTTTTACTGTTTTTATTGTAATTGTAAAGCTTTCTATTGATCCGGATGTGTGTAATATAAATCAACTTTAGTATTATTGACTTTATTGATAACTGATTGTTTCTTTGTTATATTTAATCATTAAGGGTATTAGATAGAACATATATAATATAAAGTTATTAAATAAAGTTAGTATTATTGTGTAACAATCGGGGTTAAAAAATGTCACTTAATGTGGTTATCTTATTTTATATTTAGTATATTTTTTGGGCTTTTTATTGCCTTTATTATAGTGACAGCTGAAGACAGACAGGAAGGGGGGCAGAGAGACGGGATGACGCGCAGCAGGGGGCTGCAGGTCGGAATCGAACCCTAGGCTGCTACAGCAAGGACTGAGCCTTGGTACATGGGTCGCCAGCTCTACCCACTGAGCTAACCAGGCCCCCACTTAATGTGGTTATTGATTCAGTGAATCTGTGGGAGGAATCAATGATTAACTGCAGCAGGAAAACAATCGATATCTAAATACAGCGTTCACATCCTGTTCTTGACATTTGTGTGGCCGCGACTCAGGATGACTAAACATGAAAAACTAGAAAAGAAACATGAGAAAACAAACCTAACCCTAACCCGAGGATTCAAATATCATCAGAGTCAAAGAGCAGAAAGATGAGCAGTTAAATAAGTTAATTTATAAAGTTTAATGTGACATTTTACTGTTTCATTACGATACTAAAGCAGGAGCTCTCAGTGGGTCCCTGGAACAATCTGAGGGGTCAGCAGACACAATAATGTGCATTATTTAGAGAGAAATGAGTTGTAGGATTACAGTTTGCAGCAGGTTGCAAATGGAAAAGTGTCATTGTTGCAGAAAGTGAACAATAAACCAGAATAAACCAGAATAAATGGGAGCATCCAGCGTGTTTCTGCAGCACAATGTGTCCTGATACTGCAAGTCCATTATGATGCAAGCAGCTTTAACAGGAAGTGGACCTCCTTTCTGTCCTTCCACTGAATCCCCTCCCAGTGATTTCCAGTCCGCCCTCCATTTAGCTGCCCACAATGGGAGCTAATGTGGCTGCGGCACTCAGCGCTCGCCCACAGACTGCTCATCAGTCCATATCTGCAGCTCTGTGGCTCGTATCAGTGCGAGGAAATGAGCTCTTTCTGCTGCGCTCACTGCAGGTTGAATGCAAATGAGTCAAAATACAATCTGATTGGAAACAGCAGCAAATGTCGTCCATTGTGCTCCCTCCGTCCAATCTATTTCCTCAATGCCCCTTAAATAACTACTGAAAACGTGTCCGATTGGAAGATGAACTGGGAGGTTTCTGACCTTTAAACGGAAGGACTGGGTTCAGCTTCAGGCCTCAGTGAGGACCACGTCAGCTGTTCTTCCTCCTCACTTCGTTTCACTTTAATCACAGTTAAAGTACTAAAACATTCAGATAATTTCATCTCTTTAATCATCGTTTGTTCCCTCAGATTCATCTGTGGACCCTCTGGAGGGCTCTGAGCCAGAGGTTGGAACACAACATGCTTATAAAAGAGCTCTTATGGGCGCCCGGTTAGCTCAGTGGGTAGAGCTGGCAACCCATGTACCGAGGCTGAGTCCTTGCTGCAGCGGCCCAGGGTTCGAATCCGACCTGCAGCCCTTTGCTGCCGGTCATCCCCTCTCTACTCCCCTTTCCTGTCTATTTTCAGCTGTATCTATCAAATAAAGGCAATAGAAGGCCAAAAAAACTACTTTATAAATAAATAAACAAACAAAAGAGCTCGTATTTGATGATCATAAATATATATATAAATACATTACTACCAATCAATAACGACTAAATACCACAACAGGAAGCTGCAAAACCAGGACAAATTAAAGTCGGAACGATTAAAAGATGACAAATAAGACAATAAAGATTTGTTGAGAGATAAAAAAAATGAAATAATAATTCATAAATAAAAGTATAATGACAGAAACAGGGAACACAGCGTGACAAAAAAGCTAAACGGAACCGAAATATTAAAGTCAACTAAAGGAATGGAACAGGATAAATAAACACACAATAATAACAAACACACAACAATAAAATAAACACACAACAATAACAAACACAATAATAATATAAACACACAACAACATAAACACACAATAAAATAAACACACAACAACAACATAAACACACAATAAAATAAACACACAACAACAAAATAAACACACAACACAAACACACAACAAAATAAACACACAACAATAAAATAAACACACAACATAAACACACAACAACAATATAAACACACAACAATAAAATAAACACACAACAATATAAACCCACAATAAAATAAACACAACAATAATATAAACACACAACAATAAAATAAACACACAACATAAACACACAATAAAATTAACACACAATAAAATAAATACGCAACAACATAAACACACAACAATAAAATAAACACACAATAAAATAAACACACAACAATAAAATAGGCACACAACAATAATATAAACACACAATAACATAAACACACAACAATAAAATAAACACACAATAACATAAACCCGCAACAATAAAATGAACACACAAAATAAAATAAACACACAACAATAAAATAAACACACAATCTAAACACACAACAATAAAATAAACACACAATAAAATAAACACACAACAATAAAATAAACACACAATGACATAAACACACAACAATAAAATGAACACACAATAAAATAAACACACAACAACATAAACACACAATAAAATAAACACAACAATAACAAACACACAACAATAAAATGAGTCGACAAATAAAAGATGAAACGATAAAAGTCTGAAGAAAAAGGTGTTAGAGACAAAAATAATAGTCAGAAAATACAAGAAGAAGTCGACAAACAGAAGAAATAAAATAAAAGTTTTGGTAGGAAACAAACAAATAAACGATGAGTCAGCAATATATGAAAATACAAGTTTACAAAAACAACAATAAAAGTCAAACCAGTGAAATAAAACAATGAACTTTATAAAAGAGAATGAGTGAATGTTTGGGAGAATAAAGGCTGAATAATGAAACAGAGAAACAGAGTGAAAACAGAAGTGTGAGCTGGAATAAAGGCGGCTGTCAGTAAATGTCAAATCATCATTCCACCTTAAACAGTCCCTGAGAACCACAGCGGGGGATTCCACAGACTCATCTCACCTAGACACCTTTCCTCGCCCACTGCCCTGAACATGGAAGGCTGCCGACACACATGAAACAAAGGGTTAATGTCATCGCTTTCCCCCCCGCAGGGAATCCCCCTGTCAGCCAGCGAGGGGTTAACGCCACTCATGAGTCAGCGCACAGCGGCGCTGGAAACTCGACCTGGAAACGTCTGCTGCTTCAACAGCAACGCGTAGGCGGCGCAGGAATCCACTGTCTCATCCTGATGACATCATCACAGTCTGCACATAGTTTGATCTATTCATCTCTACTGATCAGCAGTGATTGAACGGCTGCAGCGTAGCGAGTGCCTTCTCTCTCCGCTTCCCTACAGTGCCAACAGTGGGCAGCACTAGCTAACATCAGCTTATAAATGGAGTCTGCTAACATCTACAAACGACCAACACCCACCACAACACAGAGTCCAACACAGAGTCCACAACACAGAGTCCAACACAGAGTCCACAACACAGAGTCCACAACACAGAGTCCAACACAGAGTCCAACACAGAGTCCACAACACAGAGTCCAACACAGAGTCCAACACAGAGTCCACAACACAGAGTCCACAACACAGAGTCCAACACAGAGTCCAACACAGAGTCCACAACACAGAGTCCACAACACAGAGTCCAACAACACAGAGTCCAACAACACAGAGTCCACAACACAGAGTCCAACACAGAGTCCACAACACAGAGTCCAACAACACAGAGTCCACAACACAGAGTCCAACACAGAGTCCAACAACACAGAGTCCACAACACAGAGTCCAACACAGAGTCCAACAACACAGAGTCCACAACACAGAGTCCAACACAGAATCCACAACACAGAGTCCAACAACACAGAGTCCACAACACAGAGTCCAACACACAGTCCAACACAGAGTCCACAACACAGAGTCCACAACACAGAGTCCAACAACACAGAGTCCACAACACAGAGTCCAACACAGAGTCCAACAACACAGAGTCCACAACACAGAGTCCACAACACAGAGTCCAACAACACAGAGTCCACAACACAGAGTCCAACACAGAGTCCAACAACACAGAGTCCACAACACAGAGTCCAACACAGAGTCCAACAACACAGAGTCCACAACACGGAGTCCAACACAGAGTCCAACAACACAGAGTCCACAACACAGAGTCCAACACAGAGTCCACAACACAGAGTCCACAACACAGAGTCCAACACAGAGTCCAACACAGAGTCCACAACACAGAGTCCAACACAGAGTCCACAACACAGAGTCCAACACAGAGTCCACAACACAGAGTCCAACACAGAGTCCACAACACAGAGTCCAACACAGAGTCCACAACACAGAGTCCACCACACAGAGTCCACAACACAGAGTCCACCAACACAGAGTCCACAACACAGAGTCCAACACAGAGTCCACAACAGAGTCCAACACAGAGTCCACAACACAGAGTCCAACAACACAGAGTCCACAACACAGAGTCCAACACAGAGTCCACAACACAGAGTCCAACACAGAGTCCAACACAGAGTCCAACACAGTGTCCAAAGTCAAAGCTAACATTAATGCTAAGCTAGTGGAACATGTTGTCTCTTTGTGCTGTTAGCTGGATAATGTTAGCTCTGTTGCTAACTATGTAGCAAAATGCTGTCAGCTAGCTTCATCCAGACTCTGTGATCTGGGTGGACTGCAGCCAGCTGGCTAACGTTAGCTTGCTTGCATGCTAATGTTATCACTAGGCAAATACTGTGTGAGTGGTTATGTTAGTTGGCTATTGGTAGCTTGTTAAATTGCTAACTAGCTAACATAGCAAACAGTGATGTGGCTGCAGATTACTCAGATTTTATTTTTCCGTTTTAATGAATGATAAAAAGAAGTGAAACAGTTTCTGTGTAATTTCCTTGCAGCAGCTGATCTCTCATTAGAGGATTAATGTGAGAGACTTTCTTCTTCTAATGGATCAACTTCATCATCAATCACTCTCTAATTACACTGACGAGCTAATCTGACCGCCACTGAGGACGAAAACACTCTGAAACCATCAAACCAGCTTCACACGCTCAACCCCCCCCTGATCAGTGCTGTCTCAGAGCCTGAGACACATACAGTCATATACAGACATATACAGGCACATACAGACACATACAGTCATATACAGACATATACAGGCACATACAGACATATAAAGACACATAAAGACACATACAGACACATACAGACAGGCACATACAGTCATATACAGACATATACAGGCACATACAGACATATAAAGACACATAAAGACACATACAGACACATACAGACAGGCACATACAGTCATATACAGGCACATACAGACATATACAGACATATAAAGACACATAAAGACATATAAAGACACATACAGACAGGCACATACAGTCATATACAGGCACATACAGACATATACAGACATATAAAGACACATAAAGACACATAAAGACACATACAGACAGGCACATACAGTCATATACAGGCACATACAGACATACAGACATATAAAGACATATAAAGACACATAAAGACACATACAGACACATACAGACAGGCACATACAGTCATATACAGACATATACAGGCACATACAGACATATACAGACATATACAGGCACATTCAGACATACAGTCATATACAGTCACATACAGACATAGACATATTCACCACTGTTGCTGTGTGTTTTGGGTCGTTGTCGTGCTGAAATGTCCACTTGTGCCCAAGGCCAAGTTTCTCTGCAGACTGCATGATGATGTTGTTGTTGAGAATCTTGATGTATTGCTCTTTTTTCATGGTGCCGTTTACTGTGATTAGGTTCCCTGGTCCATTGGCTGAAAAACACCCCCAAAGCATTAGGTTCCCACCACCATGTTTGACAGTGGTGATGGTGTTCTTAGGGTTGAAGGTTTCTCCTTTTTTATGCCAAATGAAGGATATATCATTGTGGCCAAACAATTCAATTTTTGTTTCATCTGACCATAAAACAGAAGACCAAAAGTCTTCTTCTTTGTCCAGATGAACATTTGCCAAGGCCAAGCAGGCTTTTGTGTGCCTTATCTGGAGAAGTGACGTCCTCTTTGGTCTGTGTCCGTGGAACCCAGCCGTTTACAGTGTCCGTTAGACTGTCTGCCTTGAGACGTTGCCACCAACAGAGCCCAGATTCACCATTTTCCCACTGTGACAGTTTGCAAAGGGTATGAATAATTTTGGACATGACACTTTTTGTTCAAATGTAAATAAAAGCTGAGAAATATTTTTTTCCACAATGATGCCTCTTGTACATCGTCTTAATATCTTCTGGGAGGCGCCTGTGTCATTTCCAGTCAAAAACAAAAAACTTGCTGGTTGAATAAAAGTAACTTTAAGTCAAAATTTGCCAGGGGTATGAATAATTTCGGGCTTGACTGTATATAAATAATACTCCTCCAGAGCCTGGACTCCCCAGGCACCTTCACCAGGATCCTTTTTGTGGACTTCAGCTCTGCTTTTTAACATCATCCAAAAGCATCTGTTGATCCAGAAGCTTCACTATTTCAACATCTCCATCCGCCTGATCCATCTCCTGCACAACTTCCTCATCAACAGACGGCAAGCGGTGCAGGTGGGCAATACCACATCACCTGCACACACCATCAACACCGGGGCATCGCAGGGCTGTGTGCTGAGCCCATTCTTGTACACACTCTACACCAACGACTGCACCAGTCCATCAGCCATCACCACCTACCTCAAGTATTCAGACGACACAGCCATTATTGCCCTGTTCACAGACAAACACTCCGTCCTCGACTACCACAGCACCATCACACACTGCAGCAAATGGTGTGAGGACAACCATCTCCACCTCAATGTCAGTACGACCACAAAATCATCATTGCTTCCCCGAAACCACAGCACCCCATTACTATCAATAACCAAACAGTTGAATGGTTGACAGTTTTAAATACCTTTGAGTAACACTGGACAATAAACTTAGTTTCAACCAACACACCACTGACATCTTCAAAAGGAGCCAGCAAACCCAAAGGACTTCATGTTTCCACCCATCTTGTCCTACTACTGTATCAAAGCATCATCCAGCCCATCCTCATATAGGGTTAGGGTTAGTTTCTACAACATGCTCCTCCTGTTTCTACAATGTGCTCCTCCTGTTTCTACAACATGCCGAACACTGAGGTGCAAAAGAGTTCGCTACGGAAAAAGCCTGTTCCCTACAGCTATTGTTGCTCTAAACAAAGTGGTGAGTGTGAGGTCCACCTGTCATTTATTATTTATTTGATTGTTTGTTTATTGTGGATGGCGTGTTTCTTTATTGTCTGTACGGTATTCTCTGTACGGTGTTGACTGTACGGTGTTGTCTGTACGGTGTTCTCTGTACGGTGTTGTCTGTACGGTGTTGTCTGTACGGCGTTGTCTGTACGGCGTTGTCTGAACGGCATTGACTGTACGGCGTTGACTGTACGGCGTTGTCTGAACGGCGTTGACTGTACTGTGTTGACTGTATGGTGTTGACTGTACGGTGTTCTCTGTACGGCATTGTCTGAACGGCGTTGACTGTACTGTGTTGACTGTAAGGTGTTGTCTGTACGGTGTTCTCTGTACGGCGTTGTCTGAACGGCGTTGACTGTACTGTGTTGACTGTAAGGTGTTGTCTGTACGGTGTTCTCTGTACGGTGTTGACTGTGCAGTGTTGTCTGTACGGTGCTGACTGTACTGCGTTGTCTGAACGACATTGACTGTGCTGTGTTGACTGTACGGTGGTGTAGAGGTGGGCGATATATATCGTTTGCGATAATATCGTCATTGTTGTTTTGACGATGTGCAAATTTCCATTATCGAGTATTTAAATTACTTCGACAAAAACAATGAAACGCCCGCGGAAACTCCTCACATCCATTAATACACGGCGCAGCAGCGCTCTCTACAGCATGGCAGGATTCAGTCACACGACTAGTGGGCCTCCGTGATCACATGACGTGATCACGTGACCTCTCGCTAGCATCCTCCTTGCAACAGTTTAGCAGCGCGTTGTGATGATAGAGAGAAAATGCAAACACCTCCAGTCCCTGAAGCTACCGGTACTTCAGATGATTTAGTGCCGAGACGTGGGTCCTATGGGCTTCAGCGTTCAGAGCGCTAAGCGCCTTCAGCGGTAAAAAGATGTCAGCGGAGACGTTTTTTTTTTAGCGCAGCGCTCAGAGCGCTTCAAGTTGAAATCTGTTCAACTTTTAACACCGCTGGGCGCTCGGAAAATGAGTTTTTGAGCTCTCTCAGCGCTGTAAACGCGTTTGGTGGACACAAGTCCAGCTCAGACAATTCTAATCACATTTTAAAGGATATCGACTGATTATCGTTATCGCCAAAATCCCAAAAAATATTGAGATATTATTTTTTGCCCATATCGCCCACCCCTACGGTGGTGACTGCAGGTGCAGTGATGTGGAGATGAATTTCCCCCTTGGTGGACAATAAATTGAATCTTGAATCTGGCTAGTTTTTTTGGGGGGGCTTTTTAATTGATAGAGCCGAAGATAGACAGGAAAGGGGGGCAGAGAGAGAGAAGGGATGGCATGCAGCAAAGGACCACAGGTCGGACTTGAACCCGAGCCGCTGCATTTATTATATAATATATTATATATATATTATTATAATATAATTATTATTATATATAATATATATTATATTATATATTATACGGAAGCCCTAAAGGGCCATGCATTCATACATTTTATTTCCTCCGTTTTCCCTTGATAACGAGTTAATTTCATTTTTTTCCCGAGATAACGATATAATTAATTTGAGATCTCGAGATAATGACTGTGATATGATAACTGTGATCAAGCAAGCCGTTACTCCGATCTCCGTGGTCAAATCAGCCACACTTAAATTTCAAGTGTACAAGTATTCTCAGCATTATGGCAATTGCGGAGAAACAGCGTATTCACTTCCAGTTTCCAAAATAAAGGTATTGAGAACAGTAAGCTATAATTCGAACCTACATTTAAAATAAAATATGTTACATTAAAGTGTTTCATGCGCCCATGATGAATAAAAAACATACTTAATATCAAGCATTTTAACTGCACCAATGTGGAGAAATGTCTAAACAAAAGTTCCATATTTGTACCTCCAAGTGCCATCTTTTCTCATATTTGAGGTACTGTAAAAACTAGTGCTGTCAAAAGATAAAAATATTTAATCGCGATTAATCACATTAATGTCACAGTTAACTCGCAATTAATCGCACATTTTTATCTATTCTAAATGTCCCTTGATTTCTTTTTGTCCCATTATTTTTTCTCATTTTAATGCTCTTATCAACATGGAAAAGTGGATCGGCTTCCTTTGTGCAATTGTTGTTTTTATTGAAAACAACATTGGCATATACTGTAGGGTTCAATTTCACACTAACATAATCCATATATACATATTATATGGCATCCATTTCGGCGTATCGCGTTTGCCATCCACTCAAAACGTAACGTCTACTACTCTTATCATATCGGCCTCGCGTCCAGACGGATACAGCGTTTTCGGGGTGGGGTTTGGAAACGGGTCCCAGAGTGTGAAAATCCGAGAACGCCGGAGTCGTCTGGACAGCGAAAACTGATTTTTTCCGAAACTATGACGTATTAGCCCCGCCTCTCTAGCCTTTAACCTCAGCCGCCGCCGCTAGACGTGTCATAACAACAACAACAATGGCGGACTACTACTACTTGTTTGTAAACAGCGCATGCTTCTCTTCCGGTTTTAGTGTATTGGTGTGATTTTTAAACAAGAAGGTGTAGAGAAATTCTTGTCTTTATTTGAAGCACAATTACATATAAAAAGAAAAATTGTGTTTAAAATGCTTCACTGAGCTGAAATTGAAACTAAATTTCAAACTAAAACACTAAGCAAAATAAAACATTTCCAAATAAAAGTGCCTGTGCTTAAATTGCTTCACTGAAGTAGAACATTTCAAACTCAAACATTTCACGTAAAATAATTATTAATGATAATAATAATGATTACTACTACCTGCCGCTGAAATGCAGCTGGGAGAGGGGCCGCTTTCCCTACACACTTGTCACGGCATATCGTGTGTTTTTTAACATGTTATGTTTTTTTAAAGTTTCGATACGAAACGTTGTTGACCCGCTCACGAATGCACTATTTCCGGCCATATTCTGACCGCACTCCTGACAGTACACGCAGTGCATTGCGTTACGTCCTTTGTTGTACCTCAGCCAGGGAAATTGTTTCAGCCAGTCCTGTCTAAAGGAATATATTTTGGCCTTGTATATTGTGGAGAAATTCAACAATAAAATTCCATATTTGTATCTCCAAGTGGCATATTTACATATATTTGAGGTATAGTAAAAGCAGGTACAAATATGGAATTTTATTGTTTAATTTCTCCAAATTGGTGCAGTAAAAATGCTTGATATTGAGTATACTTGTATTCTTATATGTGTAGAAGTCAAATATACCATCCATAGCCAGGAATTATTGAGCAAAGTGTTTTTAAAGTAGCTCAAATATAAGAAAATATGGAATCTGGAGGTATAAATATGGGACTTTTATTGTTGAATTTCTCCATATTGGTGCAGTAAAAATGGTTCATATTAAGTATACTTGTATTCTTATATGTGTGGAAGTCAAATATACCATCCATAGCCAGGAATTATTGAGCAATATGTTTTTACAGTACCTCAAATATGAGAAAAGATGCTACTTAGAGGTACAAATATGGAACTTTTGTTTTGACATTTCTCCACATTGGTGCAGTTAAAATGCTTGATATTAAGTATGTTTTTTTATTCATCATGGGTGCATGAAACACTTTAATGTAACATATTTTATTTTAAATGTAGGTTTGCATTATAGCTTGCTGTTCTTAATACCTTTATTTTGAAAACCGGAAGTGAATATGCTGTTTCTCCGCAATTACCATAATGCTGAGAATACTTTAAATTTAAGTTTAAGAAATTTAAGTGCGGCTGATTTGACCACGGAGATCAGAGTAACGGCTGGCTTGACCACAGTTATCATATCACAGTCATTATCTTGAGATCTCAAATTAATTATATCGTTCTCTCGGGAAAACAAAGTTTCATTACCTCGAGAAAATTATCCCTTTATCTCGGAAAACAAATGAAATTAACTCGTTATCAAGGGAAAACGGAGGAAATAAAATGTATGAATACATGGCCCTTCAGGGCTTCCGTAATATTATATGTTTCCTTTATATTATTATATTTAGCGTCCCCGACCGGGACCACAGGCCTCATGTTGAATCAACTTCCTGTTCTCTGTGTACTGACAGTGAATGTCTGCATGAGACCAATATTATTGATCAGTAATATGGTTTATTGATCAACAGTGAGAATGAGTTTATCGGTATCAGCTGGATTTATTTCAGTCTGTGTTTGATGATTCAGACGGATTTTAATTCAGTCACACAGAAACTGTTCACATTGTTTCTGTCTCAAATCTGCTTCATATTGATCACTTTCACTTTAAAACCTGACTCATATCCACTCGTCTGCTTCTCAATGCAAAGTCTCACATACACCCTTTTATAATACTGCAATATATATATACTGTATTATATATTATATATACAGTACTGTACTATATATATAATACTGTATTATATATTACAGTATATATATATATTACAGTATATTACAGAATAATATACTAGCAGTAGTACACACAGTATTGCGAAGTAAAATATTGTATTTTAAACTGTAATTACTTGAGATGAATTTGCGGAAACCCAACTGAGCTTTTATGATGAATAACGTTCTATAATGTGTATTTATTTAAGTATATTCACTAACTTACTGTAGTGTGTGTATGTGATAGCTGGAGTTACTGTACAATAATAATAATAATAATTCCCACGTCTTAATATGGATCCACAACCCTTTCCAGGAAATATATTTAATAATAAACAAGAACATTGTTGTTAGATTCAGCAAATTAATTGCATTTAATTGAATTATATAATAACAGAATTATTATATGAATATCTGGATGTTTGTTATGTAAAGAGGTGATTTTAGCATCCAGCTGTTTGTCTGTAACACCGTGTTTATTCACTGTTTCCATGGTAACCAGGACTGCACACCATATTGTGATATGAGTCAGTATTATTGTGGGAATAAATCATCATATTTATTACATTAATAAACCTTCGGAATAATATATATATATATATATATATATATATGGCCCTCTGTCTCACTGTGATTAGTATTTATACATTATTATTATTGGAAACAGAGGACAATCTGACATTGATCTCTACAGATTACATCTGTAATCTGATTACAGATGGATACTCTGCTTATTATCTCATTTAATTACATATCAACATTTCACTAATATAACATTATTATTACACTATCATTACACTAATATTACATTCTATTCTATTCATACTTCTTTGATACTGTTGTCGCATCAGCCATTTTCTTTGGAGTGGTCTGCTGGAGCAGCAGCATCTCAGCAGTCGACAGGAAGAGACTCGACAAACTAATCAAGAAGGCCAGCTCTGTCCTGGGTTGCCCCCTCAACTCAGTACAGGTGGTGGGAGAGAGGAGGATAATAGCAAAGTTATCATCACTGATGGACAATGTCTCCCACCCCATGCAGGACACCATACGTACACTGAGCAGCTCCTTCAGTGACAGACTCCTTCACCCCAAATGTGTGAAGGGGAGATATCATAGGTCCTTCCTCCCTGCTGCTGTCAGACTGTTTAACAACCAGCACTTCTCCCAGTAGCCCCCCCGTTGTTGATAATAACAATGTGCACTATTTCATTTCACTGTGCAACCTATTGCCCATGTGCAACTGCTGCTGCTACAATTTGTACTATTTTTACTATTTGTGTTATCTGTTGTTACTGTTGTTGTGATATTTGTGTTATCTGTTGTTATCTGTTGTTACTGTTGTTATATTTGTGTTATCTGTTGTTACTGTTGTAATATTTGTGTTATCTGTTGTTACTGTTGTTGTAATATTTGTGTTATCTGTTGTTACTGTTGTAATATTTGTGTTATCTGTTGTTACTGTTGTAATATTTGTGTTATCTGTTGTTACTGTTGTAATATTTGTGTTATCTGTTGATACTGTTGTAATATTTGTGTTATCTGTTGTTTTAATATTTGTGTTATCTGTTACTGTTGTAATATTTGTGTTATCTGTTGTTACTGTTGTAATATTTGTGTTATCTTTTGTTGTAATATTTGTGTTATCTGTTGTTACTGTTGTTGTAATATTTGTGTTATCTGTTGTTACTGTTGTTGTAATATTTGTTTTATCTGTTGTTACTGTTGTTGTAATATTTGTGTTATCTGTTGTTACTGTTGTAATATTTGTGTTATCTGTTGTTACTGTTGTTGTAATATTTGTGTTATCTGTTGTTACTGTTGTAATATTTGTGTTATCTTTTGTTGTAATATTTGTGTTATCTGTTGTTACTGTTGTTATATTTGTGTTATCTGTTGTTACTGTTGTTGTAATATTTGTGTTATCTGTTGTTACTGTTGTAATATTTGTGTTATCTGTTGT